GAAGTGGTTGAGTCACCATCCCTGGAAGTCTTTAAAAGACGTGTAGATGAGGTGCTTAGGGACATGGTTTAATGAACATGGTGGTGTTGGGTCGACAGTTGGACTCAATCTTAGAGGTCTTTTCCAACCTTAATGATTCTATGAATCTATGAACACAGGGTAGGGAGAGAAGAATAAGGACGTAAATGTTCACCACATTTCAAATCCTCAGGTGTGGCTACTGATTTAGGTTGACCACACTTCCGGGTGCTAAGGTGAAAAATTTTAAAGGCTGGATTTTCAGAGCATACTGAGTAACCCAACTTCTGAAAAAAATGAATGCTTTCAAAGGCATTGCCCAAACTGTGTACTATAATAACAAAACCACCAAAGTCACTTCTGAAAGCAGAGGCTACAATTTCCTTTTTCTTTGTGGACTTTTTAAAAGCAATAAATAACAGCAGTAATGAAATGTCAGTGCGTATTTCTATTCTTCTGGTATTCATTCACCAGAGACAAGCACCCACAAGGAAGCCAAGCAGCTGAATACATATTTGTAGAAGACCAAATCAAGGGTCCGTATGTTTTAGTGGGATTTCATTGCTCTCTGCAGAAACTGGAAATTCTGCATCCACAGAATTGCTCTCTGCATCAATTCCCAAGCATCCACATCTTTTTGACACTCTGATCAGAAGTCCTCTTTTTGTCCTTGAAGTCCAACTGCTGAAACAGGTCCAATTGCTAGTAGATGTTGCATTGTGTTCTGGATTGTTTTTAGCTTTGATGTGGTATTTCCAGGAAACCATTTCACGCTGATACACTAGATGACAATTCAATCACATATCCTTATCCTACTGAGCTAATCTTGTTTACTCACTCTTTTTTCTCTCCTGTTAACATGTGACAATCGTATCCATTTCAGTAGCTTTCATCTGTCCAGCATGCCTTTGAACTATACACTTTTGGAGCGGCTCTGTGCTCTTCTGCAGGCCTGTACTGGTGCCACTTCTATTCCACTCGAACATGTTTTTTTAAGATTTGCATAAACAGGGAAGAGCAGTAAAATTAAGGATCTCTGATATACTAAGCTCCTCTCTGGGCAACCTGCTCCCTTCCCTTGGGCAGATTCCTAGTGTAAGACTTTAAAGGACTTTTAATCAATGAAGACAGATCTTCAGATTTGAATGGATGAGGACCATTAGCATTTACCTCATTTTCTTCCTGTTCTGTCTCTTCCTCTTTTGGGGCAGAAAGTCACAGGATGTAACATCCTCAAACGACAGCTTTGACTGGGATCTTTTGTCATTCTTCTTTTAGGGCCGGGCTCAGCTTTGATCTACACCCCTCTGACAGCTTATGCTGATAGAGAAGCTTTGCTTTATTTTCTGAGTAAGTTAGAACTAGATGTACAACTCATTTCCACCCCTCACAACAAACTACTATGACAGACACTTGTAGCATCACAGTGGCTTCACACAGTGCATCTGCAACGTAAGTGCGTTCCCTTCCGGAGAAAAGTGCAAGAGCTAAGTACATCTCCTGCCCTAGCCTTCAGGTTCACTGTTGTTTGTAAAACCTATGTCACATTCATCTCTGAGCTTCCTCGTATTCAGTCATTCAACACTAAACTATCAAGAGCCAATTAAAATACTGCTCTAGGCCTGGGAAATGAGGTGAGGTTGACAAGATAATAGGAGTGGAACAATTAGAGTTAATTAGCCCAGTGGGAAATATATTCCCAGGCAGCTACTGGTGAGAGGCTGGGTTGGCAAGATAATGAGTCTAGACTGGATATACCAGAACAGGCAAACCTTCATCTGCACAGAGAAGTGGCCGGTACAGGGCTTCTGACTCACTGCCACAAACAACAGTGAGTTCTGGGAGAATATCAGGCCCTACACAGCCCTAGTGAGCTGGGACAGAGTGTGTGCAGCCACGCATGTCCAGGTGTGGTCTCCTCGTACTTGTCACCAGCAGCATATGCTCCTGTGTGCACAGGGTATACGTACACCAGAAGTGGTGCATACAAGGAGAACTGCTGGAGGGAGAATCCAAGACTTAGTTTTACTGGCAAGAAGTTGACAAGGGAGGGAATCAGCCTGGTAGGGGGGGAAAAGCTACAAAGGCAACTCTGGTAGAGTTCCTCAGCTAAATAACTCAACTCCTAAGTGTTTCATCCATCTCCCTTTGTTATTTGGTGGTAGGATAACCAGCCCTGAGGCACCAGCAATTATCCTTTTAGTGGCATTTCAATGGCAATATTCCCAGTTGCCAGAAGCTCTAATAAATAAAATGAAAATACATACTGCTAAATTAGAACACACAACCATAAACAACATTTTTCTCTTTGCTGGCCAAGTCAACAGCTTTTGTAAGGAGCTACTCTGCTGATTGTTATCCAGTTAGAAAAGAATCAGCTGCTTTTCTTCTATTTCAGAAGTAATCTCAGAGCCTTGGTTTTAAGACAAGCACATCTGACAAATCAGCTAGGTTTGTTAATGCAATGCACGGTTCTTTCAAGCTCTGAATATTCCCAACGAGAAGGGATTTCCTCTTACCTTTTCCTATGTGTCTCCTGGTGTTTTCTATAGTAGAGTTGCGGTTTACATTTGAGAGCAGTCCTAGGCAGAACCTGTTTTTGTTATTTGAGGGATCTGTAAATCCGTCTATAAGGATACTTCGAGAGGAAGCCTGGAAAGTCTCCCCTACCCGGTTGTTGAGTTCATAGTAGGCAACTGAGCACCAATGTTGGGGTTCCTCATAGCAAACAGGCCGAAAGTCTGTAGGAAATAAAATTAATCAGCTGCTCAGGTCTCAGTAATTTTTTTTAAACAATCATTCTCTATTTTCTTTCCTTCCTCCCTCCCTCCCACTCCCACCCTCCCAGCTCTTCATCTAAGCAGTCACTTATGTCAGGCTTTATCTCAATAGCAGCTTCTGTTTCTTCTTAATTTTATGACTGAAGCCCCAGACATGCAAAGGGCTGGTACACCAGCTTAACTCTAAGCCTCTGAGGAGTCTCACTTGTTCTTAAAAGTGATAACTCCACTGCATTAAATTAAGC